GGGGCTCGCCTTCGAATCCGATCGCCCCGCGGATGCCTCCGCGCTTGCCGATGTGCGTGTTCGACCATCATCTGTGCGTGCGTGCCGGTTGCCTCGATATTGCAATTGTTGCATCGCGCGCGCGCCGTGGAATCCCGCGTTTAGCGACAAAGGGCCCGCGTTCTCCGACGACGCGGTCTATCGGAATCGGCTCTCGATTAGTAACGCTCTTTGATGCGACGGCGAGGAGTATCGTCCTACACGTCCCAGGCAGGGCAAGATCGAGTGTCCTCCGTTCTTCTGTCGTCGGCAGAAAAACGAGACATTACAGGCAGCTGCAGTTCGCAGTCGCAGTTGCAAGGTGTAACGTTGATAAGCGCGGCAGTTAGGCAGGTATGTTTAGCGTTAAAGATGCAGTGAACAGGAGTCGCCTGTCTTGTCCTTCCTCGGTGAAGCTAGTTCGGATTTCGAGCGCGATGAGAAGCTGGACGCGAGGAGTGTCGGAGTATGCCGGGTGCAGTGCGAAGTAACGAGTCACACGAGTCGCATTTTGCTCTTTATGTGAAAATAATGGTTGGAAATTTTAGAGAAGAATGTGAAGGATATTTTTTGCAATTTAAAAACAATTTTTTTTTCTTTACGTATCCGATATTTTATACATACAATTTCGAAATATTATGCGTCAAATTAATGATAATCGCGCCCAGCGCGATTTCGATTTTATCGGAATGAAGTTCATCAACGTGAATACTTTACGGTTTACATAAAACGATCTACCGCGAATAAAGGACGAAATACGACATTTGATAAGTTAGCGCCTAAAGTTAAGCAGTTATGCTCGTTTCCATTAATGATCAACTTTAATTTTGATTTAACTAGAATTCCAAGAATTCTCTTACAATTAAGAAGAGTAAATTAAACCAAGATTAAAATTAATCTTGGTTTAAATATTGGTAGGAAATGAACACATAAGACAGACAATTTAATACTCGATTTAATCCTCACAACGTTTTAATTCCTTCCGACACGGAAAGGGATTAAGATTTATAAGAGATTAAAGGTTACGTTAAGATAAGAATTTATACGAAATTCTAGTAAAGTCGTTTTATACAATTTCATTTTCTTACGGCGTTTCTTATCGTCTTAAACGCGCACTTGACTTAACTCACACGTCGAGGGGATAGAACCGAAGGGATTCCATCCGGTAATATATCTGTCGAGAAATCTTTGTTGCGCGGACGCGAGAATCGTGAGCGGCGGACGGTCGCGCGGGGAGGAGGGGGGAGGAGTGCAGGTGAAGAAGCGGCGGAAACCTGTTTCCGATCGCGCCACCCGGTACATGCGAGACGGTTCTATTCTCCCGCGGGTCTCGACTTCCTGCGACGACCTTCAGCGCCGTATCACGAAGTCGCCGAGGAGCCGTGCGTCCGTATAGAGCCGCGTTAAGCCGCGTTAAGCCGCGCCGCGCCGATGCGGGCTTTTACTTCTCCTCTCGGCCTCGCTTCGCCTTCCCTCGCGGGCGCTCGAGCTGTCGGAAAAATCGGAGAACCCAGACTTCGGTCCCGGGCGAAGGGGGCGGCCGTCAAGCGACTCTCGACAGACGGCGAAGGGGAGTGCCCAGACTGACCTTGACCTTGAGTATTCTCGCTATTGTGGCTCCTCTCGGCGCGAGACGGATCGCGCGCCGCGCGGCGGGTCTACGCGCGAATCGCCTCCGCGTCGTCGCGTCGTGGCTCTGATGAGCGACGGGAAGCAGAAAACCCACCCCCGACTCGTTAATTACGCCCGGCAAATTAGCACGGAAATTTCGTAACTATGGAGATTCGTCGGGCGACGCGTAACTTTTCCCTTTCTTCGTTACATACAACATCGGCCACGCCAGCCGCACGTGAGACAGAGAGAGAGAGAGAGAGAGAGGCTTCGTTGTCTCTACCCGATTCGATATTAATTATACCTCTCCTCCCGATGTGTAATTACTTCCCGTAATTAAACCCTACCGCCGAACTAACGTCCGCGCTTCGTGCGCAACGCTGCAAGCGCGGAACGTGCGTGCGCGAACGCGTCTAGAATTTCTCCCACGGCGTTTCCTCAACTTTCCGAAGCGCACGCCGCGTTGCCAAGTGCATGTGCGTGTGCCGGCACAGGCAACGTACGCTCATCCTCGATAATTTCGCTGTTTTCTTAAGACCTATACAGGGATCGCTCTTTCTCCATACAAATTCGATACGTGTCTCCCTTTTTCACGTGGATAATAAAATTTTCCGCGCTAAGATAAAATAAAAGATAAAATAAAAAAAAAATTTTTTTTTTCGGAGTTCGTTTCTCGCGGGGAAAATTATACCCTTCGCGCGGCTCCAGCGAGGCGCGCACGAAAAAGTCGTCCGTATCGAAAAGGAAATCGGCTCGAGACCGGCCGGACCGAGGGAATGGAACCCCTCGGCGCGCGCTAGACGGGCGCACGTACGTTCGCCTCTCGTCCCGCCTCGTCTCGCCTCGTCTCGCCTCGCCTCGCCTCGCGCGCGCGGACACCGCTTCGGTCAAGGTCGCAGTCTGCGCGCTTAACGTTCTTTTTGCTGCACGTTCTCTTTCCCCGCCTGTACCCGGTGTCCCGAGTGGAACCGATCCGGCGTCGGTCCTCGCGAATCCTATCGTCGCGTCGCTCGTGCCGAAGGGCCGCCGCCGCCGTCGCCGCGCCGCGCCGGTTCGCCAGGCCCGAGCTCGCCGTCGCGTTACGTTATACGCTTACGTTTCGTTTCGTTTCGTTCCGTTTCGTTTCGCGACCCGCGCGGAAACGCCGGCCTTTCTCCCGCGACATTAATAGAGATGCATCCTTAAAAGGCAATTTGCCTTGCCTTAAAAGGTAATTTGAGGTAATTTGAGCTAAGGGAGATCCCCGGATGCGTCTCGGTTATCCCGCGGGTTATTTTTTTTTTTTTTTTTTTACGAGACACGTCGCGTCGCACCGCCAGGAAATGGTATCCGCGATTACCTCTCTATAGCTCTAATTATCTCAATGGAATGGTAATTTTTTACCGTGTATAGCAACACACGACCGCTCGCTCGCGGTTTCAAGCGGAGCAGCGTCTGCATATGCGTGACATTAGATCGTGAATATTTGCAATCTCGCGCTTGTCGATCAATGTCAATACGACATACCGTCGTAAAAACCTTGCCAATAAGGATTTCACGGATTCTGTATTGCTCTGTAATACATCTGGATATATAGCTTCTCTTTCTCGCGCACAAAAGAGAAGCTTTGCGCGCGCCGAGCCGGCTTCCGATGCCGCCAAGGCGTAACGTCGGATTCATATATTGCGGCGGCGGCGGCGATATGAGAACTTTTTCACAGGTACAATGAATTTTAATACGCGTCTCAAGGCCTGCGGCACCCGACGGAGGCACTTTGTATATACGCATATACGTATACATAAAGCGGGGATTGTATATACACGAGACTGTATTGCCGGGATAATGTGCCGAGGCTTGGTAACTCCACCACCGTTGGCGGAATTCGACGGCCAATGGGGTACGAGTTTCCTTCTCTCGGCGCGAAAGGCAGCTCATATTACATATTTACAATGCGCATCGGCGTTGAAAAAATCCCCAAGAGCGGCCCCGTGTCGCTATCGCGCGCGCGGACAGCTCGCGCGAGGACGTGAGGTAAGTCAGGATCGCCATTGGGTGAGTATGTGATCCTTGAGTGGCGCGGCGAATTTTTCGACGTCGCGCATTCGGTCATCGGGGGACGGGGTGAGATGAGGGATTATCCCAGCTCATATGCGTAAGAAAGACGCCCGCGGTTAACAGCGAATAATGTTATGCGTCAATCGAGGTAAGTCACGGTAATGGATTAATGCACAGAAAATAAAAAAAGAAATATATAAATTGACAGGCGCAGGTGTCTGTTAGAAGTTCTTGTAACAAAGCCGCAATCTAACAGTGGAACACTTGCATTGCTTAAATTTCACGCAGGTCGAGCCTGAGAGTTCTTGGTTTCGTAATGCCGAACTCTATTCATAAATCATGAATCTACTTTTCATTTTGAAAAAAAGAAAAGAAACTGTTACTAGACCGTCTTACGTCTAGTATAAGTTACGTCTTTCGACGTAACTCCTTTTGTCAGTAGATATTTATTTTTTATAATCTATGTTCGTACTTTATATGATGTTTATATACTTTATGATTTTTATAATTATGTTCATACTTTGAATTCTTGGTTTTATATATAGAACGTCAGACGTGTGATGAATAAATTTATTTTTTATCTAAAACAAAAATAAAAGAAATCATGCTAATTGTAAGACATTCTATTTTTCTCTCAATATTTTCTTTTATCTGAAAATATATTTTTAATTATATTTATAATGTAAGCGTTAACATTCTTTACCTTGAAACCAAATTATCAATCTGTCTCTCAATGTTTCTTTTACTTATATAATGTATTCATAATTATGTGTGTAATTTAAAGCAATTTGTCTGTGAATATTGATTGATTTTATAACGTCAAACTTCATAAATTTATTTCGAAAAATAATTATTGTCTTAATTAATTTCCTCCTCTAATTATATATCTATAAATACTTCATAATTATACTCATAATATGAAGCAAATTTTCATCTTAAAAAATTGGTTTGCGATTAAATATGAAGAAAATCACTTGTAAGATACTATCTTAATATGCAACTTTTTAACTTTAACTATTAAGTATTAAAAAAAGACGCGTTTTATTAATTATTTTTTATTATACAATTATACACACGTTGCCTCAATCCGCAATTTTTTAATTTTTGGATACTAAACACAGAGGGGAGAGGCGTTATTTTTCTATACATATATGTATACGTAAACGAAATATAATTGAATTAAATAAATCTTCATACTCGCGAGGAGCTTCGACAGATCTCTGACAGATTCGTGTACCGGTCGAGTATGCAACGATTTACCGTTCGCGCCTGGTTCTCGCTGATTCCCCTCGCCACCACGGCGGCGCTGGCTTCCCGCTTGCTTCCCGTTGAAGCGAAGCCGCATGTTCCCACGCGATCGCGTTGGTATCAGTTCGCGAAAGGCGTCAGCGTTGACAAGCGTGAGCTGCGAGAGCGTTTTGTTGTGTATCGCCCGTTGTCGTATGCGACGGCAGGCATGGCCGGCGCCTCGACGTTCTGTCTGCTGCTGGTCGCCGCACTTGTGGACTCGGGTTCCTCCACGCGACGCGCAGTGAGTAGTACAATACAAGTGCCTATAACCTGGAAACCACCCGGATTCGTTTGGATTCCCGGAGGCCCTGCGTTGCAGGGGATTGATTGGGCCGCGCCGCGGGTCCAACGTGCGGTCAGCCGTGGCAGCGGCGTCGTCCGTGATGAGACAGCGTCGCGCCGCCGTCACGCCGTCGAAACGGACGGATCGCGTGCGCGTGATTCATCCGTGCGACTTTGAACCTTCGGCGTTTATACCGGAATGCGTAATAGACACAAAGGAACGATCGCCGATGTTCGGGGGGGCGTGTTGCGCCCACCACGAGGTCCCCTCTTCCGCCCTGACCCCCCCCCTTATCCCCGTAATCCTTCCCGCGCGTGAGCGCGTACGTCTTCTCCGTGCGCTCCAAAATTTTACGACGAAAACTTGTCGCGATGTATTTCTTATTCCGCTGCCGTGTACAGGTGACGATTTATTGTTAAATTGGCGAGTGCACACACGCTATTCGCGTATTAACGGCTGATCGGATAAGTGCGACCTAGATTGCTCGAGATCGAAGGGCACGGTCGATCTCGTCGAGTCGCGCGATCGGCGCGTCAAATGCACCCCGAGCGTTCGGGATGATTAATCGCGCGCGGATGTGGACCAGCGTCATGTTTTTTTCATTCAACTTGAGGTTTTAATTTCGCACGCTGCGTCAGCGTGCAATGCGCGAGAGTAGCGCGACGCTTTGACGCGTTAAAAAATTTACCTCGGAGCCTCGACAGTAATAATAAAAAAAATATATATATTATATATAAAGGATAAATATAATATAATAAGTAAATTAACGTAATCAAGTTAACGATGGATTGCTTGGTTGACTTGTTTACTTGCGTATTTATTTCAATTATTTTATTTTTTTTATCTTTCTTTTCAATTATTTTATCTCTTATCTTTCCGTATTCTGCTTTATTTTTTAACCGAAAGATCGTAAATGCGGTAATCTTATCGATATTCGTGTGACGTCAAAAAAGAACGAGTTCGTTAATTGTAAATAACGACGCGGCGTAAATTGCCATTAATGTTTCAAGGCAAGTGGAGTGTTCGATACGATTGTACTTTGCGTACCGTGCAGGCCTAGTGTCTTTAAATTCGTAATAAACTGGAACTATCGATCCTAGGGCGTGAATTAGTAAATAAGCGTAGAAGCGCGCCAACCGCGAAGTCTAGATATAACGCGTTTGAAAATGGAACAAAGAAATCTATGACATTTGTTCCATCTACCCCGCTTATCGATGCAACGCGTCGTAGGAATATGACGAATCTTAAAATATATAAAGGGATGATATTTCTACAGAGTCCATCATTATTTTATTAGCTCGACGTGACACGGAATGTCGGATTTTCCTTTCAATGAGAAATCGTGGGAGAAAGTATTCGCGACAGAATAGTCGAGTGTATCCGCGCGTACTTTTCGCGAGCTCCTTTCGGAATGGAAAAAAACAAAAAACAAAAACGTAACTTTCGTCACTTTACGGTTCGCGGATATCGAGCCTGCACGAGCCGTGCGCGTTAGCGTTTAACGGCGGTGCAACGCCGTTTCGCGCGATAATAATCGCACCGGGGGACTCACTCGGCTAGGAACGGCAAGGCCGCCGCCGGGCCGCACAGCACGATCCGGCGCTGATCTAGGCCATCCGTCCGTTAATATGCGACGTCGGTTAATCTGCAACGCTTGCATAAAACGCTCCGCTTTATCCTGCCTTAGCTGCGGTCGTGGGTGAACCCGGGCTGCGACGAGCCGTGCCGCGAGCGTAACGTGACGACGCTCTACCTGCGTGCCGACGGCCCGAACGACACGTTGCACTACGTATGGGACTTCGTCGGCGTACCGTCCGTGCTGCTGGCCGTCACGCCGCCGTCAGCATGGCTCAACATCAGCTGGGACGACTATCTCGCCAGAAGGGAGAACTCGCTCACCTTCTCGGAGAAGCCCACCTACACCTTCGGGGTGATAATAAACAAGGTAACCCTCTCGTGAGTTTTTTTTTAATAGCTTAAGTCGATCGCGAGTTGGCTTGTTGAACGTACAAGTTCGATCAATTTATCTCGTTCCTTCGACGGAAATAAATTGCAAAGCATTTTAAGAGACGCGGAGATTGAGAAAATCATTTTTCACGTCGCTCAGTCTTGATCGAAATTATGTTATCGATTCTAAATTATTGACTATGTTAGCGATTCTTTTCATTCAAGATATTAATTATTCTAGCGAGAAAGTGGCGAAATGCATTTTATTGGCAGAAACGAGCGCGCTCTATTTTCTGCCAATAAAATTTTGCCGACAGATGCAGATAAATCGAATATAACAAAAAATGTGCCAATGCAATAACATGTATAGATACGCGCGTGCAGGAATATAAAACAGCACGTCAAAAGTACAATTACTCTTTAAAGTATACGATACACTCTTAGGTATCACTTATTATACTCGGATTTACTTCCAGACGCGGACGCAAATCCGAGTGAGTGACACAAATCCACTCGTCGCATTCTCTTGCCGAGAGTGTAGAGAATATATCCGCGGTTCCTTAATTAAACCTTCGCGCACTCCACAATGTCTCCACTTCGTAGAGCCTCTCTTCAAGCCGAGTGTCTTCTCTCTCCGAGAAGAGAGAATACCTCCTTTCGTACCTCCGCTATTTCCGTTACGATTTCACTGTGCTCAAGCGTGTTTTAGCGCAGAAAAATAACACGAACGCTTTCACGGAAATTTCGGAACAATTTACAGTACATTGCGTCATCTCGGAACATCTAAATTTCTCGTCCAATAAATACCCGCACAATACCGCGAGATTAATCCTTTGTAAAGCGCGCAATTGACGGCTAAGCGCACCTTATTCGGCTGACGGAATTAACGGTCGCCGCGTACAAAGCTTGTGGAATTGTCCACAGCCAACGAGCAAACATATTTCCGCGGCGCATATCGATCGGCTGCATCTGACAGGAATTTCGGGCACGAGCACGTCAGTATCGACGACATTGCGGTTTGTAATTCAGTTAACTTTATTGCGCGCCAATGTGGAATTACGCGCGGGAGAAATTGCGACTCTCTGTTTATGTAGGTTCAATCGCGTACAGTCGCGCTCTCTCTCTCTCTCACACACACATCATCGGGTGACCCGATTTCGTCATCTGTTATTATGATTTCTCAGCGTTCGCATATTATCACGTTGAATAATTACCAAGTACATGTGTTACGTTACAGATTATCGAATTCAACGACGTTAATGACACGGCACTGATTGACACTGCCGACGTCACTAATACGAACGTTTTGCGTCCCGAGTATTTCAACTGGCGACGCGTGTCCCTATCGCAAAAGAACGAACTCGTCTACCTGGATATGGAGGGTAACTCTTATCACGATACAGCTAAGAATATCAGCAGATACGGGAGTATAAAGCTTTCGGTAAAGTATTTTGCAGCATTCAAGAGAAAATTAATCGGTAGTACGTAGCGACGCATGCGAAAATACAATGGCTCAAGTTAAGCGAGAACCAACTTCATTTTGAACCTGAATATACATATATATATGTGTGTGTGTAGCTTTCTTATTCTCCAGTTTTTATTATACGTACATATCTAAAATCTCTCTCTCGTTTGCTTATCAGCTCCAGGGATTCTGCACCATCGACCACTCGGATATGGTGCCGCACATGTTGCACACGGAGAATTCTACGCAGGTGGACATCATCCTCGACAAGATCCAGACCAACCAGACCTTCTCCCGCAGCAGATTCGCTATTGAATTGCTCGCGGTTGGCGGGGGCGATCCCGACGTACCGATGTTCGTCGATCCGAAAAAGAACCTGGACGACGAGCACACGCCGGGTATATTCGAGGTAACGATCGCGGACATCTGTTGTTTCTGGCAACTGTTCTTTCTTATATTTTGATTGAAAGTATTATTTTAACCTCTCCCCTATCTCTCTTTTCTTCAGGTTGTTGAAGTTAGGACGCCACCGTACAGAGAACTGGACGGCGCGTTGAACGCTGGATCGTATTTACAATGGCGGCCGGTGTCGTACAATAGCGTGTCGCGCGACGTAACCAGTTCCACGGAGACAATCCAGTATCCACCGAAACAAGTGTTCAATCATACGAGCGCCATCAAGAACTCGATGCTCTATTGTTACTATGGCGAAACTGCGGACGATCTCCTCCTGCAGAAGCTAATAGTTTCTTTGGGCTCGAAGGGAGACGGTTTTTACAAGAAAACGAATTACTTGACGTGGTGAGTTGTCGATTGAAAAAAGTTTCGCATTTTATTTTGAAAATTTTGTAATAAGCCATAAATCTAATCTCTTATAATTTCTTAAATTAATAAAATGCGTTTTAAATTTTACAGGACCTTCATGATCGGATACGGCACGCCACCCGAGGAGAGATTCTCTTCTCTAGTCATTATGATTATCTCGATCGGCCTCGGCCTTCCCTTGCTCATTATGGCCATCACCGGCCTGTACCTATGCATTCGTCGAATGCCGAAACGACATGGCAACGCTTATTTAAATCGATGAATTCGCCGCTCATGTGTGCCATGTGGTTTCTTCGTACGTCGCGTGCACGTTTAGGTGCATCGCTGCTACACAACCTATTGTTCTTCACAAAGAGATATTCCTATATTTATACAATCACATATATATATATTTTTACACGAATTATTAGCTCGGATCTGATATCAGTGTGATAAGCGTGAATGATAATTCGTTCTCTCATAACGTATTTAACGTTTAGCAAGGTGTTAGAGTAGTCCTCTGTTTTAATCTTTTATTAGTACGATGTTTAGTATGTTGTTTGTTGACACTTGATGAAAAAAGAGGATAGAAACAATCACATTTGTCTAAATACGCTGTGAGAGAACGTCATGTTAATTTGTTGCAATGAATGATTGTACTTTTGTAGGTAATTTGTAATTGAACGCTGATTGTATGCACGATTTACGAAATATACGATAAGTTGTACTACATTTTGTATAGTTTTCTTCACGATATTCGTTCCCTATGTTTAATATTAAAGAAGCATTAAGTGTATAACGATGTATTTTCTGTATGCACATATTTTTTAAATATTTTTCGCAAATATACGAAAACTGTATTTGTTTAAATTCATATCTCAACTTTTAATTCATCAACTTTCCATTAATTCTCTTTTCACATTAATCTCTCGTACACGTGTCGATATGCTCCGAATTTAAAGAGTACATCTTACATTTTTTTTTTGCAAAATCGAGAAGAGACTTGAGGGTGAAGAAGTTTACACTGCACGTAGAATGGATCGGGGGAAACTAATCGCGTGCGAATGAGAATCCGAGCGTCGCGGATCGGGCTGACGAAGACGTTGCGCGGTGCGCAACGTGTCCGCAACGCGGTAGTAAACCTCGCGCGGGCGAGCTTATGAAGCTCGCGGGTATGGTCGTAGAGGGTGCGGGTGAATGTTTTCAGGCAGTGGTAGTAAGAGTGGCGCGGTATGGTACCGCGTTTCCCTCCGCCGCGGAGTGGCAAAGGGTGGCGCGGGGAGCCACGTCCACGACACCGAGGTGGAGGGGTACGTTTTCATTGATCCACCCCATGCTACGGAAGCGCACCACGCAAGCACTTACAGAGCCCTGAACGGAGCATTGATCTCGCTCCGTGCCCGTCTCGCTGATACCGTCGCTTCGCCACGGGAAGCCCTCGCGTTTTCTCGAAAAGAAAAGGAAAAAAGATCGCACCCCCCGCGACGGTGGTGACCAGTGGTGGTCGCGACGGCACCGTTGATTCCGCCAGCCAGTTTCGAATCTCGTCCTCGGGGGATCGTCGCGCCGCCGGTCTCTCGACGCGGACTCGGGCACCGCGACGCGGCATTACAGGGCGCAGGGTGGTCGACAGAGTGGCGGGGGTAGGTCGGTTCGCGTAGCGGATCGCGGAATGGGGTAGGTATAGCGGGCGTGGAGCGGGGTGCCCCGTGACTAGTTTCCGCGGAGTCCGCTGCGCGAAAGACTGGCGCGTGGCGATGCAGTAGCGGTCCGCGTCGGCTCGACTGATCGCGACCGAGTCGGCACCCGAGGAGAGTACCGCTTTCGCGGCACGAAGTACGCACAGCGTAGAGGAAACCCGGGGAGGTACGAGGTACGGCGCGCGAGAGTTCGAGGGTGGACTTCGTCGGGAGTGCCGACGACGCGAGCGAGTCGCGCGAGAGCGAGCGAGGGCCAGGCGTTGGCAGCGAGCGACCCTTCGTGCCGGCCGCGTTGCTCCGAGGGTTGAAACGTCGAACGTCGGGCACGCCGAGAGGGTGCAGGGACAGCGCCAACGGCAACGGTGCGAGGGAGAGGGTGAAGGAGGGTCGAAAGAGAGAGACGGAGAAAAAGGGGAGGAAAGAGTGGGCGAGAGTGAACAGAGTGGTAGGTGGTAGTAGTGGTGGTAGCGGCGGTGGTGGAGGGTAGCGAAGGAGGACATAGCTACGAGAGAGAGAAGGAACGTGGCCGCTGAGGGAGGGTTGAAGCGAGAGAGATAAAGAGAACGATCGTTCCCGTGTGCGCGCGCGTGCGTTCGGCCGCGTCCGACTTCGCGTGTGTTAGCGCGTGTGCCTGTGCCCCCCGCGTGTCTGTGAGCGTATGCACGCGCGTGCGCGCGCGCGCACGCGTGGAGGGTGTCCGTGCGTGCGTGTTGTCTGTCTGTGTGTGTATGTGTGTGTGTGCACCGAGCGTGCGGCAGTGAGAGTCGACGAAAGAACAAAGGGAGTGGAAAAGTAAGACCCGCCGCTTAGCGGTCCCGCGGCTTAGACCAGAGCCAAGGGTGGCGCAGCGCGAGAGAACGCGGCGGACGCGAGAGAAGTGGTAGAGCGGACGTACGTGAACGGACCCCGGGGTGTTGAGGAAGAGTAGCCCCGCGTCAACACGGGCGACGCGGCGGCCGGACACGAACGCGTCGACGGGCCTGTCCCCCGAGGAAGGGACCGTCGCGCGCAACGCGATCAATTTTCGTTGCGGCGCGCGGGCGGCTTAGATCGTAGGACGGACGAAATGACGAGGCAACCGAGGTACCGATAACCGGATAATGTTGTCGCAGAGCAAGTTTTACGCTCTCTTCATCCACTACACGTTCGTGTAGCGCGACACGGGGCGGGTCCTTGCCGCTGCGGTGAAAAAGAATAGAGAAGAAGAAGAAGGAGAAATACGAGGTGGAGGAGAAGGAAGAAGCAGAAGAAGAACAAGGAACACACTACGAAGGGAAAGGAAGAGTGTACTGACAGTGAGGGAGAATAGAAACGAAGGTGAAGACAAGAGAGACGGAGGAGGGAAAAATCATTCGAAATTTGAAGAGCGCCTCGTACAACCGTGTTCGCCATCGTCGCCCGAGGGTTGAAGGAAAAACAAGAAAAGGGGCAGCAAAGGAAAAAATAAAAGAGAGAAGACGCATAGCGACGACGGAAGAAACGGAGAGGGGTCGTACACGCGTGTATATACGGCGGCACGCGTATACGCACGCCAGGTGGTGGGACATCGCGCGAGGCGGAATTTTAGCGCCGCAACAGCGTCTCTCGTCGGTCGGTTCTTCTTCTGCATCGTCGGTGTGAAAAGTGTATCTCAGTGTGTGTCGTCTCACGGTGCTCGGTTGTGCTACCCTTACATCTCGAGCAAGGCCCGCGGAGGTATTCCAGAACCCGCCCCCGCCCCCGCGCCCTCCCTCTCTCTTTCTCCGCTCGACGTCGCAGTGCCTCTCTTCTCTCCATATCACTACGTTGCGCTTCTCCTTTACGTTCGGTGACTATCTACGCTGGAGAGTGTTCGACCTCCTCGACCGTAAGTGTCAACTCGAGTGCACGTCATGTGTGCGCCTCCACCTAAGCAACAACATCAGGAGCGTCCGAAAGTCGTCTCGTTCTTTCTCAAAATTTAAAGCCCCTTTCGGACGTCTCTCGCTCGTCAGTCTCTCTCTTTCGGAGCTGTTTAGACGGTCAGTTCGCTACCACACACGTAATTCGTTCCACGAATTGTTGAAGTGACTCGTGCAAACTTTAACGTCTCGTTTCGTTTGCCAACGAGTGTTAAACATAATTGAGAGAATATCACATTTGTCTAATCAATTAAAGAAGTTAGTTAGTTGCAGATAACGTGAGAAAGTCTGACTTGTTAATCTATTTTTCCACGTGAATGTTTTACCATTTGGAAACTGGCTGCTTAAATCAGATCGCGCCAGTCGCTTGTCTCGAGAACGAACGACGTGAAGAAATTTGTGGTATCGAGTTACGTTGTGAATTACGTGATAGCGTACAAGTTTCCGTGCTTGCATATATTTCTGACAAATTTCCGACGAACGATTTTCGGAATTCTATTCTATTCGGGATTTCAGTTTTTATAAAAATCGATGACATTTTCATTGTACTCGATTGTTGTTCAGAAATATAATAACGTTCATAGAAATAATAACGATTTATCGTTTAATATGAATTTCGATAATCTTCGAAATCTAAGACGATATCAAATATTTAGTATCGGCTGTCACATATAATGAATTATTTGACATTCCGTAGGACCACGGGCGTAGCTGCCCGTAAATATAGTGCAAATAAGCAAAGCTGTAGAGGCATACGGCGGCGTACATATAATGATACATATTAATATAAGATAACAGCTGGCACGTAACGTGGGAGTAATGATATATCCATAATAGCACAAATGATACATTTAAAGTGGTACACGAGTTTGGCATTCGATGTGGGTAAGAATATAGGTAAATCTATTAGTGGTCTCTAGGGCTGTGTATGAGGAGTGGTCTAGAATAGAATTACCAGACAGGCTTAAATCTCAGACAGTCTTAAATCTGACAGTTGCACTGACAGATTTGAGTTAAACAACCGGACTAGCGATTGGCTGTCGCGTTCTTTTTAGCTCAGCACTGTACTTATATCAACATTTGGTCTTGGTACTTATTGTTAGACCTCTGACAAAATGTGTTGAGGAGCAGCGAATTTACATCCAAGCGATAGAAGGTGCCATTTCTCAAGAAAATATGACGTGACACTTGCACTGTTGTTTTTTTTTCTCATTTCAAAGGTCTACCTTTTTTTTTTAAAAACGTTATAATAAAAATATGTTGGACATTAGCGTTATATAACGTCGTATAGTGAGAGAAAAAGTTTTCCCTGAGTTTTCTGACTATAAGAGAGTCGGCCGCGATGATCGAAGTGAAGCGTGTCAGCCGTGAGTAGACGCTACGTCTGACCATTCGTTGATTCGACCACTTCCACTGGCGCGTGCGACGCGGCGCTCGCGACGCTCCGTGCCACACAGAGCTCTCCGACGGCCTGCGTCCGTCGTCGGCTGCGTCGACCCGCGCGTCACGGGATCCACGTCGCCGTTTAACATCGCGGCGGTAACGAGGTCTCGATTACGAGGCGCGATAGGACTGGCAAATCGAATCGCCAAGGTGTGTTGCCGCACGCGGGGCCCTAACGCGGTGTTATCGCCGCGCATACGTGTATATAACGTGACGCGCGGCCCTGCCGCGGCCTGCCATTCCCGATATATCGATCGACGCTACCCGCGGTCAGGGATCGGCCGCGCGCGCGACGAGCTCGCGGACGATGGTGATCGGCACGAGGACTATGTCCGACGCCAGGATGTGAATGTCGGGAGTTTTCATGCTCTCGTGCCATGCCGTCGCTCTCTTCGTTTTCGAAACGATGACACGTACCCAAAGTCTGCCTTTTGGCTAAACTGTTCGCAGTGTCTGTTCACAGTAAAAGTGACAAGTATAAATAAATCAAATAACAAAGATATAAATAATCTATTCTGTTTATAGACGCACCTTTTTATGGTTCATTTGAACGAAGCAAGTACCCTTTGAAGAGAAAAGAAAAAAAAAAGATCGGTATGTAGAAAAATGAATTTAAAAAAATCTTGATAATTTATTTTTAAAAACGTATTTGTATACGATATATTAAGAAAAATCTTGAAATATTTCAGCAAAAAATGTTTCTTTAAATAAGTATTCAGGAGATACAGCAATGTGTTAGTTTTTCAAAAAAATTTTTTATAAACACAAATAGTTTAATTTATGATGTTTCAAAAAATTCAGGATTTATAATATTTTTAATAAAATGAACAATCCACTTGTACTGTGA